GAGAAAGGGAGAAAATAAGTTGCCGGGTCCAGGACTTGACCCACAGTCAGCCATGTGGGAATCTAGTGCTCCCAACCACCACCTGCCGGTCCCTTAAAGAGAGATTTTTGCTATAGGGTGCATGCTTGCCATAGAGACAGAAAGCGAGAAATCACCCCCCAGGGGGGATGGTCACACTGCAATCCCTTCTTCTCCATTCTCCTCTCAGGATCTTGGGCACACACGCACACGTGCCCAGCGTGAGTTTAAGCCACCGGGTCCGGGACTCGAACCACAGTCAACTACATGGGAGTCCAATGCCAGCCATTACGGCCAACTGCTGGTCCCGACCGGTGTGAGTTTAAGCCACCGGGTCCGGGACTTGAATCAGGGTTGGCTACATGGGAGTCCAGGACGTAACCACCGCACCATCTGCTGGCCCCGTGACCAAGAATTTAGGAGATGGAACCACGCTGGATGAGGGGCCGGGTGGGGCGTCTGTACCCAGGTGGTCGGGGGTGTAGATGGTCTTGTCCGTCTGGATGAAGATGTAGCCGGCATGGGGAGCCACTAGCACCATCTTCTCCATGAACGAGTTGGGCGCCCAGGTTGCCCGGATGACGAGATACCGCTTCCCCGGCTGTGGGGTGTTTATCAGGCTCTCGGGGACCTGGGGAGAGATGCCCACGTGTCCCAGACTCTGCTGGGGTGTCAAAGCTCAGGGTCCTATAGTCGGAGAAGGTGGGAGCAAGGTGGCCATGCGCGGGCGTCCAGGTGGCCCACTGTCCAAAGCCCGGAGTCACCGCAGAGAGGAAGCCCAGCCCGTGCTCAGCCTCCAGGCCACCAGCAGAGGGCGCCCTTTACAATTCCCATTGAGGCGTCCTCTGAGCTAATGGCTGGGCCCCCCCCCTATTTTGGAGAGGTTTTTGCTATAGGGCGAGTGCCCTCGCCAGACAGAGAGAAACAGAGAGATAGAAAGCGAGAAATCACCCTCCAGGGGGGATGGCCATGCCACAATCCCTTCTCCTCCATTCTCCTCTCGGGATCTTGGGCACGCACGCACACGCGCCCGGCGTGAGTTTAAGCCACTGGGTCCGTGACTTGAACCATGGTTGACTACATGGAGTCCAGTGACATAGCCATTATGCTAACTGCTGGTCCCATGGCTGGCCCTTCTTGAAGCCCAGGCAAAAGGGGACATTCGATTTCATCCCCCTCCCCAAGATTTTGCCATAGAACACGTGAGAGACAGAGAGAAACAGAGAATGGGAAAGTGAGAAAGCAAAATCCCTTCTCTTCTCTTTTCTTCTCCTCTAAGGATTTTGGGCACGCATGCACGTGCACCCGGTGTGATTTTCAAACCACCAGGTCTGGGACTTGAACCGCAGTCAACCAGATGGGAGTCCAGTGCCTTAACCACCACACTACCCACTGGCCCCATGATGTCTAAAGGGACAGGCATGAGAGGAACTGTAAATACTTCTCAGGGTCCCACATGAGAAGTCCCCCCAGAGTTTACCCCTCCCTGCCTTTCTTGCCCACCCAGAGCGTCCCTCTGGGGCCACCCAATCTGGCCTGTCACCCACCGTCACAGAGGCCTGGTCCATGAAGTTGTTTTCTGGCGAGAGGGTGACTTGACTCTTGGCCACCACCGTCTTTCTCGTGGGGAAGTCCCACACGGTGAGGGCCACTTCCAGGGTCCCCTTGAGGGGCTTGCTGGAGTCCGAGTGGGCCTGCACATGGATGTTCTCGGGGGTGCCAATCCTCAGGACTCGGGGGGTCACCAGGATGTACCTGCCAGTGGACACGACACAGGTGATCGGAGGGATGCGAGTCGGGGAAGACGTGGCCGCACGGAGGGACTCGCGGGGATGGAAGAGGTGCAGGATGCGACCGAGTCCCCCGGCTTCCCCAGACTCACAGCGGCTCCGCGTGGGTGAGTGGACTCCCCAAGACGACCAGGAGCACCCCCAGGGCCCAGGGTGCAGCCATGGCAGGGGAGAGTGTGGCTTGAAGGTGCCGTTGCCCTTTTATCCGACCCGGCCTGGCCTGTTTGCTTTGGCCTGTGCCGGGTGAGTTAATGCCTAAACAGGGGTGGGGAAGAGATCCGGGAATCCCCATAAACCTGGTGTGAGCAAAGTGTGGGGGGGTCGCTCCTCAGCCAAGCCTCCCGGGAGGCTGGGAACAGTGGCCTTGACAGGTGTCCTGTCCCATGAGTCATGGTGGCCTCATTCCTGAAGCCCTGCCCTGATCCTAACAAGGAAGCAGGTGGACCTGCAGTGGGGAACTCAGGGCTTGATCAGGGGTGGCTGGTAGGGGCAGGGGGGAAGCTCTCCCGCCCCCAAGTCCTGATAGACTGCCCCCTTCTCTGCCTTTGGGAAATTGGCAAGACTTTCTCAGGGAGCTGCCCACGCGGGGGCAAAGCTGGCATTTCATTCCCGTTTCCCAATCAAGGCACGGAGCCATCTGACCCCGGGACCGGCCATAACGGAACCTTCTGAGCAATGCCCGGGTCAAAGTTCTCTGGCCGGCCTCTGCAGTTTTCTCCTTCCCTGGAGGAGACAATTTTGCTGGGGATCATTGTCTATTGTTCTAAAGTCATGCCAGGCTCTCTGGGCTCTTTCTCCAGAAAGCAAATTATACATCTTGCACCAGGGAGGGAAACACATCACGCTGCAAACATTCCTGGAAGAAGGCTTTCTCTGTCTCCAGGAAAAGCTCGCTGCAGTTGAATGAGCCCCTTAAAGATGTTGATGGGGTTTGTGGTGTCTGCTTCTTTGAAGCCCTCGGGATTGCAGGCCAGTCTGTCTGAAGCAGGGCCTGGGAACTCTTGCCTATTGGACAGCCCTGGGTGTCCCCAGACAATGATAATGCACATTAAGTTCTGACCACAAACCCATCTCCCCAGCCTGCTGGGGACACAGCTGTGAACATGCAACGTCCCTACCTACATCGAGGGGACATTTTTCTCTTTCCTTTTATTTTTTTTAATTAAAAAAAATGTTAAAGAATGATTTATTTAACATTTTAAATTTATTCATTCATTTAGTTTTAATTAGACCAGAGAGACATACACAGACAGAGAGAGAGAGAGAAGGTGAGAAAGCAAGCCACCAGGTCCAGGGCTTGAACCATGGTCAAGTGTGGGAGCATCCAGCCCCTTAACCACCACGCTACCTGCTGGTCCCCTCTTTCCTTTTTTAAAAAAAGAATGATTTAACTTTATTTATTCTTATTATGTTTCAATTTGACCAGAGAGAGTAAGAGAGAGGGAAAGTGAGAAAGCAAGCTGCCAGGTCTGGGATTCAAACCACGGTCGGCCAGGTGGGAGTCCAGCGTCTCAACCAACATGCCACCTGCCGGCCCCTCTTTCCTTTGTTTTTTTTAAAAATATATTTATTATTTAAATAAGAATAAATTTAGGGGCCGGCAGGTGGTATGGTGCTTAGAAGTACTGGACTCCCACATGGCTGATGATGGTTCAAGTCCCAGACCTGGTGGCTTGCTTTCCCTCTGTCTTTTTTTCTCTCTATCCCCATTCTCTGGTCAAATTAAAACAAACAAATAAATAAATATGGTTTAAGTAAAAATTTAAAAAGCTTTAAAAAGAGTAAATTAAATTAACAAACATTATTTACATAACAATAAATTTAATAAACTATTAAAATTCAAATAAAATAAATTATAGTAATTAAAATTATTTATCATAAGGCACATGCACTCACCAGAGAGAGAGAGAGAGAGAGAGAAAGAGAGAGAGAAAGTGAGAAAGCAAGTTGCCAGGTCTGGGACTTGAACTGCAGACAGACCGGTGGGAGTCCAGTGCCCCAACCACCGTGCCACCTGCCAGCACCATCTTTCCTTTGTTTTAAATTGCCAGAGACATGTGCACTTGCTGGAGAGAGACAGAGAGACAGTGGGAGAGAGGGAGAAAGCGACCCCGATTGGTGTGACCACCCTGCAGTCCCTTCTCCATTTCCCCACCCTGTAGAGCTGGGGCATGCATGGTCATGCCTGGCACGGTTTTCAAGCCACCTGAGCTGGGATTTGAACTGGGCGGCCATGTGGGATCTGGCTCCCTTAACTACTATGCTGTAAGGCTGACCTGACATGTTTCTTTTTCTTTATGCCATAGGGTGGGCACCTCCATGCCTGACATTTTTCTTTTTCTTTTTAAAGCTTTTTTGTTGTTGTTATAGGACACGAGTGTACACTAGAGAGAAAGACAGACAGACACAGTGAGAGGGAAAGGGAGAGATCACCCTCCGGGGGGATGTCCACGCGGCAATCCCTTCTCCATCCTCCTCCTGGGATCTTGGGCATGCACACACATGCACAGCTGGGGCATGCACACACATGCACCTGGCCTGATTTCCAAGCCACTGAGTCTAGGACTCGAACCCTGGTTACCCATGTATGAGTCCAGTGCCTTGACCGCCACTCCACCTGTTGGCTCTCGAACTGTCTCTTTTTATCTTCCAGCAATCGAATGCAATCAGGGTCATTACTGGCCTTTTTTGCTAATGAAAAAATGGAGGCCCTGGGGCCAGCAGGTGATAGGATGGTTAAGGTGCTGGATGCTGACATGGCTGACCACAGTTCAAGTCCTGGACCTGGCAGCTTGCTTTCCCACTTTCCCCTCTCTTTCTCTCTGTCACTCTGTGGCTCAGATTTAAAAAACAAATAAAATAAAATAAAATAATCCTTAAAAAAAAAAAAATGGAGGTCCTGAAAGAGTGAAAACTGCCCCAAATTGGGCGACTGAGAAGCTGAAACACAGAGAGGCTGCGAGTCTTATCTGAGGTCACACAGTACGTTTGGTGATGGGCCTAAACAAATGAATGCAGGAGCCAGCAGGTGGCCTGGGGGTCAAAGGCGCTGGACTCCCATACGGCCAACCACGTTCAAATTCCCGACCTGGCAGCTTGCTTTCTCACTTTGTCTCTCTCACTCTGTCCCTCTCTGGTCAAATTAAAATAAATAAATAAAGTTAAATCTAAAAAAATAAGAAAAATAAAAAGAACGCAGATTGGAAAGGGGTCCGCAGAGGGGTCCACCGACGAGGCCCACGTTCGCGATAGTGGTCAAGTCCCCCTGGCCTC